TTCCCCCTTCCACCATTTTGCGGGGAGAAGAGACGGCAAAGTCTCTTCTCCCCGAAGTGCTACCGCTATTCGGCAGTTCGATCGACCTCATCTTCTCGCTACCGATAATCGCTTAAAATCGTTCAGAGATCTCTTCTCGGCGCTCTGAGAGAAGAGAGCCAGTTCGAGTTTTGATCGTGACTGATGTCGACCTTGATACTCGTAAACTATATGCAAGTTGCACATTTTCCCGTCAGCGTGACATGAAACAGTATAAAAATCGGACTCTGTTTCTCGTCCTTGGGCTATTGAATTCTAATTATATGGTCGAACCTGATTGGAATTATTACGCAGATAATCTAAAGTTATTTTTTCCTCGTCTTCTGGATATAAATGTTTCCTTGTCCAACCAGATGAAATTTTTCCTCGAAGTCAAGGAAAGAGAGCGAGGACGAGAAAGAGAGAGTCGTCGAGAGTTCGATGCGCTTTCAGCGAACATCGGTTCCACCTCGTCGACCTCGTCCTTCGATGGTGTAGCGAGATTTTAGAATCCCCAGCGAGCCGAGATCACAGCCGTTAAGAGCTCAAGAAGTTCTGAAGTGGGGCTTCTCGGTTCCCACCGAGATAGATACTCGTTCGGTCGTGTAATGTAAGTCGATATTGCCTCGATATATATTGCGGGTCTCGCGTCTATATATGCGATCGATATATCGGACAATATACAGGCCGGCCTTATAAACCGGCCTCGTAACGTACTGAACGAGAACGCGAGGAAGTCTTACTCGGAGGAAACTCGCGCGTATCGCTTACCATCCATACGATTTCTTCTTATACCGAGTATCCTGTCTCGAGGATAGTGTTTCTTCTCGGGGACATCGGCAATCTCGGCAGAGATCCTGATCTGTCTGCCGTCGCGTCGCGTCGCTTCAATGTCTTCACATCTCGTCGAAAGAAAATATCCAAAGAGCGAAGCTCTAACATCGTGAAAAATTTACTAAATAAATTGTCAAATATTTTATGGTGACAATACACATAAAATATTTTATTGTGATGTTTTCTATAAAACTAATATCTAAAGTTCCGCAAAAAAATTATAATGCAACAAATGTATCAATATTTTGCCTAATGACTTAAAAATCCAATCTATTTTAGAAAGTGAAAAAATTGATTTTTTTACATTTATGAAAGTATGATGTCTGAAGAATGTCTTTCAAATTGTATTGGAAAGTTCATATAATTGACGGATGAGTTACAAGACTTTGAATAGGATAGCGCGCGCGGGTCTTTATATAAGCCTGCAAAACTTTAAACGCATTTTTTTCAAAACACTATTTTTAAAGTTAATGTGAGAGATATCTTGAACAAATAATACCAATTTTTTTAAATAAAAGAAAACACTTTTTTAGGGATACTAAACCCAATTATTATATATAGAATTAAAAAAATTAATATTCAATATTTTTCTGACCTTCAAGAAATGAAAAAGTACCAGCAAAATTGAAATATCTAATTTTAAAATAGCACTGCTTTGTCATTTTTCAATTTTTTTCTAATGAAATTAGGTTTAGTATTCCAAAAATATCCTTCGGAATAAAACTAGATCGAGTTTTTTTATTCA